CCTTCCTTCCTTCCTTCCTTCCTGCTATTGCCTTTTTTCTGGGCTGTTCTTATTCTATGATACTGTAGAACTGAGGTTGCTCTGAGCATCCTCTTGTTTCTAAGCTGCCTCATTTGTTTCTGTTGATTGCATGTATTTTTTTTAAGACCCTGCACAAAGATTAAAAAGCACAATCCCTGCCTGCAGGCTTATTCTCTGATAGGCAGAGTACAATAGAACAGGGCCAAACTGGGAGAATCCCACCCCTGTGTGTGTGTGTGTGTGTGTTGTTAGGAATGTAAGTCACCTAACAGTTGGGTTGGAAATATGTAAACCAGGATAGACATTTTAATACTGTCTCTTTAAGGGAATGCTAAAATTGTAATTGGGTATGGTTCCTCAAATGGCCATAACCAGGTTTTCCGAGAGTGTTGCCGTTCCTGCATTTCCCTATTAACTGTTGCTGATCATCGCTATTCTTGGATTTGATGTGAGTCTGATTACTGAATTGTTTTTGATACTGGACTTTGTTATTGGATTATCTCTGGACTGAAAACTGACTGCTATAACCGTGTATGACCTGGACTGCTTGTTGGACTATGCTTAACCGTTTACTGAAAGTAAAAACCTACATTTTACTATACAGTGTATCTGTGTGCTTGTTGTGTGTTATTCTTCACCACTCTCACTACGTCTCCCCGTGTGTGCTCATTCTCCTAATGGGGAATTACCACAACACTGGTTATGGGCCCAGTCCATACCAGGTTCAGGTAACTGAGAGGTAGTGTGAATACACAGTAACTGTATACAGACAGATGTTTACTGTTTAATTGTGGGTTACTGTCCTGGTATATATGGCACAAGACCCGTCAACAAGTCTATCACTGATAACCCGGTTGGATGGAACAAACTATGTTTCCTGGTCTATGAAGTACAGTCTACTTCTGCGTAGAGAAGGGTTATGGAATGTAGTTCAAGATCCACTGGATGTAAATGCTTGGGATCCAGATAATGAGGACGATGCCAAGAAGTTAGCTGACTTTAAACGGAACAACAAATGAGCTCTTTGTATAATTGGACTAACTGAGTGACTAGCAGCTAGTCCATATTCATGGAGAAGAGTCTGCTGCTAGGTATTGGGAGAATTTGAAGAGGATTTATGTTCGTGACAGCGTAGGTACACACATACATCTTACACATAAACTGTTCAGAGCACGTGTTCTGAAAGGTGGAGATATGTTAGCTCATTTGAACTTCATGAAATGAACTTTTCAAGACCTACATAAAAAGGGACTAATATTTTCAGAGCTGCATCAAGTCTACATCATTCTTTCCTCATTGGATGAAAGTTATGATGATTACGTTTCTTCACTGGAAGTCCTACCCAGAGATAAACTGACATTGATTGACATAACTGGAAGGTTGATAGAAGAAGCAAGACAACAGCTGGATAGGGACCAACTGAGGAAGGAACAACCACAAGAAGAGGATTTGTGTTCAACTGCCTATACTGTTAGGAAATGTTTTTCTTGTGGGGCTAGGGGACATATAGCTAGATTCTGTAAGAAGGGAAAACGACAGAATACTAGTAATCACCAGAAGGCCAAGAAGAATGTTAATTAAGCTATGTCTAGCAATTCAACTGTAAACCATGATTTGTGGGTTGTTGATAGTGGAGCATCGCAGTGCATTACTAAAGATAGAGGTTTGTAAAGATGTCCACGAGTAAACAACATGTATCATTGGCAAATGGATGGAAGATGAAAGCGTTTGGTGAAGGTACTGCATATCGTTCATGTATAAATGAGCATTTGGCTATGTTATATGTACCTAAACTGAAATTTAATTTGTTATCAGTAAGGGATTTAGTTAATATTGGTTATGTAGTAACCTTTAGGGGAGATAACTGTATAATAGAGAAAGAGAGTAAAAGTGTTACTGCTAATTTAAATGTGATACATGATGACCAGTTGCAGATGGCTAACTCGGTTTATAACAATGTTAAGCCACATGACGAATGTATACATTTACTACATAGACGTCTGGGGCACATTAATTTCAAAATGCTGAAGCAAACTGTTGAATTGTCAGAGGGAGTAAAATTAAAACCCTGTAGCAAGTATTTAAACTGTAATGCCTGTAGCCAGGAGAAGAGCAAGGTTACTCCAGCAAACAGACTTAATGGGTTTAAGACCAAAGAACTTTTAGAGGTTGTTTTTGCTGATATAATTGATCCTAAGAAACCCAGTTTGGGAGGTGCCTGCTATGTTTTGAGTATAATGGACCATTACTCACGGTACGGTTTCTGCTATCTCATGAAAAACAAAACAGAAACATTCCAACATTTCTTTAACTGGCTAAAATTTGCTGAGAGAAATATGAGGAATAAAGTAATTACTTTAGTTGCTGATAACAGGACTGAGTTTATTAACAAGAGATTCCAAACTATGTTAAAATTGGCTGGTGTCAAGCATAAACATTCTGCACCTTACAGACCACAACATAACTCATTTATAGAACGAAGAGGGCAAACGTTACAAGCCATGGCTCGCACTATGTTATCTGACTCAGGTTTGCTTGAAACACTGTGGGGTGAGGCCATAATGTGTAGCAATCATGTGTTAAACAATATAGTTAACATAACTGGAGAATTGCCATTCATTCGTTGGCATAACAGAAAACCAGATTTAAGTTATCTACACACATTTGGAGCTCCAGCATGGGTGCATATTCCCTCACAAGACTAAAAGGGCAACATAGAGCTAGGAAATTATTTTTCGTAGGTTACGAGGCCAACCATAGATCGTTTAGATTTTGGGATCCAGGCATAGCTCATGTTTACTGTAGCACTAGTGCTAAATTTATTGAGCACATTGGGTGGCATAAACTGGAACAGGAATACAGCAATGATGTTGTAATTGACACCCAAGTAGTCCCTAAAGATGAAATAATTAAACCACCCTCTGCTACCAACAGGCACAGGAGGAAGTTGGAGAACAGGCACAGGAGGAGGTAGAAGAACAGGAGCAGTTGGCACAGGTGAGTCCACCAGTAAGCCTTATATTACCAAGACGTTCAACCCATGTAACACCACTACCTGATAGATATCAGGCTAGTGTTGTATGCCAAGTGAAAACAGTTCCTGGTAAATATAATGAACTGAAATTGTATCCTGCTAAGGATCAGGTTGCTTGACAGGAAGCAATGGAAAAGGAACCGAAATCCTTACAAAGGTTGGAGGTATATGAAAATGTCAGGTTACCACCAGGTGAACATGCCATAGGGTGTAAATGGATTTATAAGCTAAAGATAGGTATGGATGGGACTGTTACCCATAAAGCCAGGTTAGTAGCACAAGGGTTCAATCAGACAGCAAACGACTACGATGAGGTGTTTGCACCTAGTCTGAAAACTACTACATTACGAGCAGCTTTAGTGTGGGCAGCTAAGGAGAAATACATTGCAAATCATTTAGATGTAGAGACGGCATATCTGCATGCTCCGTTGCAACAAACTATATATTTAAAGAAACCTTTAGGTCTCAAAAATGATGATACAACTGATTGCTGGAGATTGAAAAAGAGTCTTTATGGCTTGAAGCAATCAGGATATGAGTGGAACCAATGTATAGTTAAGGAATTAACTATGATAGGTTTTGTAGCTGGCATGGCTGATCCATGTTTGTTTAAAAAGGAAAGTAATGGTGTAGTGTCATTGTTGCTATTGTTTACTGATGACATAGCACTAATCACCAAAACTGAACAAGAAGCTACTAAAATAATATCACTGTTAGAGAAGAAATTTAAGATAAAACAGGAGAAATTAAACAATATCTTGGATAGATAGAACTAGGGGAGGATACAAAATCTCACAGGCAGATAAAATTAACCAATTACTAAAAAGTTTTAAAATGGAACTTTGTAAACTGGCTAAAACACCAATGAGCCAGGAGTTTAGCCACAGTGATGTTCAAAGTCCTGTTTTTGATAAGAACATTTATCAATCCTTGATTGGTAGTTTATCTTATCTCAGTAATTGGTCAAGGCCAGATATAGCATACAGTGTTAACCAATTAGCTAGGTTTAATGCTGAGCCAACTGAAAGGCAATGGCAACTGCTAAGCGTGTGTTAAGATATCTGAAACAAACAATGCATTATGCATTGTATTTGGAGCCTAAGGATGAACTAAGTCTAACTGCATATGCCGATAGAAGTTTTGCTACGGACGTAAATACATGTAAATCTACATCAGGTACTGTAGTATTATTAGGAAAAGTGTTGATTGGATGGAGGTCTATTCGACAGAAACATCTAAGTTTGTCAACAATGGAGGCAGAATTCTCATGTTTGTCTTTATTATGTACAGATTTAGTTTATTATAAGCAACTACATCGTTGATTTGAGTCTGATTACTGAATTGTTTTTGATACTGGACTTTGTTATTGGATTATCCCTGGACTGAAAACTGATTGCTATAACCGTGTATGACTTGGACTGCTTGTTGGACTTTAGAAGGAGAGAGGGAAGGAGGAAGGGATAGAAAGAGAGAGAAAGAGGGAGAGAGGGAGGGAAGAGAGAAAGAGAGGGGGATACAGAAAGAGAGAGAAAGAGGGGGAAAGAGAGAGAGGGGAGAGAGAGAGAAAGTGAGAGAGAGTGAAGGAAGATACAAGAAAGAAAATAAAGAGAAAAGGGAAAGAAAGAAAAAAGGAGAGAGAAAGGAAGCAAAAGGAAGAAAGGGGGATGGAGGGAAGGGGCAGAAAGAAAGGGAAGGAAGGAAAGAAAGAAAGAAAGAAGGAAGAAAGAAAGAAAGAAAGAAAGAAAGAAGAAAGAAAGAAAGAAAGAAAGAAAGAAAGAAAGAAAGAAAGAAAGAAAGAAAGAAAGAAAGAAAGAAAGAAAGAAAGA